AAAAAAAAAAAAAAAAAAAAAAAAAAAAAAAAAAAAAAAAAAAAAAAAACGTAAGAAACCACGTATCGCGTACACGTGGCTTTAATTACTCTTAATTGACAAACGAACGTATGAATTATCATAAATCAGCCGTTCAGGCTGACGAGGGGCAGGCACGACTTGGCAAGGCGGCCACGCGGTTACTATATCGATTCTGTTAATATACTTTCCACCATAAACAAACATTCGTGACCAGAATGGTCGGAGGAATCAAGGTCACAGGGGTATCCTTTGACCCTGAAATTGCGGCCTCGCACTCACACAGGGGGGAGGAGGGGGGGGCTGATGTGAAAGTACAGAGAAATTCGCGATTTACGATCTTACGCTCGCCAGGGGAAAATCGAATCGAGCAACGAGATTCCAAACAGAGATCGAATACCGATGTTATTAGGGCTATCCGTAAGTAATGTCGTTTTTCATTCAAATTTAATAAACATTGCCATCTGGTGACAATAATTTAACTTGTTATGACATAACCTATATTCTAGTTAAATACATTGACATTTGAGTGTGCTTATTGAATTTAGAATTATATTATAGATTAAAATCGCGTTAACTCTTAAATGAAATGAAATTTTGTACAGCGAAACGTACTCCATCACTTATGGATACCCTTAATAATACAAATATTGATGAAAATCGCACCGTGTCTAGTGAAAATGAAAGTCCCGATACAGATAAAGTAGAAAAGGAAATGCTAATACAAGCGAAGCAGCAAAGGAGAACCAATTATAATAATCTAAATATATTATATAATTTCTTTGATTATATAATGCCTTTGAATTTAAAGGATCGATTGAAAACATTTCCTGAAGCTTTCTTTTTCCAACTTCTGGAAAAAGAATAGAAGTACTATTAGAAACTCTACAAATCAAACACGATTTGATTTAATCCGTGTTTCTTCATTCTATAATATTTGGTGCTAGATATTATATCGAAGTGCAACCATACTGGTATAACCTCGCTTCAATGACATCATAACGGTATTCGAAGGCATTTAGTTTCCATTGTGATAGTAGAATAAATTACTTACAAAAAAAAACATCGGTATTTTACCGATGTTTGTAACACCGATTCGATCTCTGGTTTCTGCGAAAAATTTGTATCTTCGTCTCGTTGCAGTTCTTTCGCCCGATAAGATATCACTTATACTTCCGTCCATTAAGATATTGTTGACCGATTGATGTGACACTGTTGCACTGTTTTGCTCGTTCACGAAATATTTTTATATAGATCGTGATCGCAGTTGTACTATGCTGTTTTTTTTTTTTTTTTTATATATATATATTGTCTTGAATTTCATAGACGGACAGAAATTGATACACCTCTCTCGTCGTTTTGTTACATAGAAACACACCGCGTATATACTCGTATGATTTCCTGCCGTCCGAATCGAATGTGAATTTCTAATGAAACGTCTGCGATGATTAGATCATCGGTGTCCATAAAGTGTCGATGTCTCGATTGAAGTCAATAGAAATTATGCACGTATACAGAGTGATTCACGTAACTTGCACGCCTGAAGTAACTTTAATTTATGCGTCTAATGAGGAATTGTTTAATACAAAAGTTGTATGGTTTTAAGGCAGGCAAAATATGCTGTATCGATTTTTTGTGAGTTTCGAAATTTCCAAGGTCATCTTTATCTTTCTTAGTCGGGCCATATATATATATATATTTTTTTTTTCTTTTTTTCTTTTTTCATCATAAACTGAAAGAATATTAAGTTCCAAGTAAAACAGTATTAAGCCACATTGGTCCTAAATCTAATGATTAAGAAGATATTTTATGATAATTTCTCTCGAGAAAAAAAATTGCATAAAGCATTAGGATCATTTGCTTGCCACACATTAATGTTCCATGGACGTTGATGATCAAATTATCGCAAAATATTGTAAAATCCTTAACCATTAGATTTATGATCAATGTGGCTCAATTTTTTATTTAAAAATCAATATTTTTCCGATTTATGATAAAAAGGAAACATAAACAAATAAAGGTAACCTTAAAAATTTCGAAAACTATAAAAAATTGACACGCCATATTTTTCCTCCCTTAAACATTCTTCCCATACAATTTTTTATTAGACGCATAATTTAGAAGTTATTGACACGAATCACCTTGCATATTATTAATTAATCCTTCGACGGATGGATTTGTACAAATCGATTTCAAACGGCTGATAGGTGATAAAATTCTTCGTCTAACGATCCAATAATAATGCTGCGTACATTAAATTAAATTTCTCACCAAAGTTAAATCTCAGTTAAATCTGTCTGCGGTTGAAACAGTTACGACCTGCTAAGAAAATTTACCAACACCAACTATGAGATACTGAGGATTCTGTATC